TCAAGAAAAATAAATTCAGGACGATAAAGGATGGCTTGAAAGACCACCCCAAATCATTTCATCTTTTTTTAATTTTTTTTAAATAATGGTATAAGACTTTTAGCCATCTCATTCCATTCCATCTTACAAAAAACTCTTAAACATTACCTAAGTATATGAGGCACACCTCAAAAGCCAAAAATAACAACTTGTTTAACAATTCATAATAAGAATTTCTTTTTAAAAATAGAAATTTAGGGACAAAAAATATTTTTTAAAAAACAAGTTTCTTTAAAGGAATTCACATAGCATGATATATTTGTCAGAGCACATAATTTATGTGGGTAAATCATTAATCCAGTATGGCTCGTAGATCATGAAGAATAGATATGGATACATAATTTACAAGGTGAGTAATAAATTTAGTGTAGCTCAAAATTAAGAATATCAGACACAGATCGAAAGTTAAGAATAACAAGCATAACTCAAAGGCCACTAGAGGACGAAAACAAAATAGGCGTCACTAGCAGGAACAAATGGAGACAGTGAGAAGAACTCTCTGCCTCGAGAACCGCGATACTGTAATCCTTGAATAATCCACAAATGTGCTGCCATATTCACTCTCAAATTTGAAATAAGAAAGTTCACCAAAAATATTTAGAAAAAAAAAAAATCTACAGTAAGATCCATTCAAGACATGACCACCTGCTCTTGTTGATATTCTCCTAACCTCCACGGTGGTGAGAGAATAAAATTCGGAAGAATGGGCATTGAAGACAGAAAACCAGCCTAAATTCCAAGACTTTGTTATTCCCACGTGGAAAAAGAATAAAAGAATCCAATAATAAAAAATTCGAGAATCAATTGTGAGTGTAAAAGATTTCATGCACCCTACAACAATTATTTTATAAAATAATTACTTTAGTTAATTGTTTATTAAAGAAAATAAAAATATATTTTATTTTATTTGTTGATATTTTATTATTTTTTGAAGAGAAATTAATTGAAAAATAACTTACTATTTTACAAATAAAATAATTTTTAAAATTTGAATATGTATGTTTTAAATTGCAAAAAAGTAACTTAATTTCACTTATTTTTTAATTTTTAAAATTTTAATAAAGAAAATAAAAATATATTTTATTATAAAAATGGTTTAAAATTTTTTTTAAGCATTTTTGCAAATTTAACTATTATACCTGTGACATGTGACCGCACTTGGCAAAAAAATGTAACAAGAAAAAAAATTCACATCTACTGGACAAGAATAGTAAAGAATAACTCACCTTTGATTCAAGGTGATTGACTTGGTGAATACTTTAAAAATCGAACAGATGTTTTTTGACTAGAGAAAGGAAATTCATTCCGAAATAATAAGAGTCAACACAGTACAAAGCAACAAAATACCAAGCCATAAGCCAACACAATAGAGACATAAAAAGAAACAACAAAAATAAAAAGATTAGACAATGCCTTCTCTATCTTGAGAAATCACACAATCAGCACCATTGAAATCATGCTCTAGAATGGACGTCAGAGGGAGTGAAGGCCGAAAGACCCACCCAGAAGGTTCCATACCCTTTAGAGATGAGGCCGCTAGCTAATCAACAACAGAGTTTCCTTCCCTTTTGATAAACAAGAAAGAAAAGGAGGAGTGAGAATGAATAGTGGGAAAAAGATCTTCAAGTGGGCTGTTGAAAGACCAGTGACAATGCAAGACATGAAGAGATGATACCACATAATAAAGCTTTTCAAAAACAACATCAGTAAAATTGCCATCAGCAGCAATAGAAATAGCTTTCTGAAGAGCTAGAAATTCAGCCATAAAAACTGGAAGTAGCATTGACAACCTCCCACCAACCTTTAATGAAATTTCCTTGATGATCACGGCATAGCACACCAATTGAAGCTTTCCTTGAAGCAGCTGAGAAAGCACCGTCACAATTAAACTTAAGTTTGCCTTGGCTGGCTGTGTCCATTTAATAGGACCAGCAATAGTACTCGAATTGTCCTTTGAATTATAATGAAGATTCCAAAATTCTGCAGCAAAAGTATCTGTTATAACCCAGAGTGGGTTAAGTTTAACACATGAGAAAACCTTTGTAGACCTAGTTTTTCAAATGTTCTAACAAAGGCAAGCTACATAGGACTTATCATAAGCATCTAAAGGCCTATGATTTGAAATGTAGAAAGAGCACAAATTCTCAAATGAAGTAATGTTCAATGGATCAATAGGATAAGTTTTTAGACCCCATAGATGTTTCCAAATGGATTGAGATAAGGAATCCGACAAGCAAGCAGTAAGAACATTAACAGGATGTGATCTCGCATAATGCAACCTGTAGCCCATCTTGGATATGTAAACTCCATTTTTTGCCCCACTCCAAACAGCTTTGTCAGAGGTGATATGCCGTGGGATCTGCATATGATATATACAGGGTAAGGTTTTAAGGGTCATGGTATGAGATGCAGCAGAAATATCCCAAGAGCCATTACAGATTAAGTCAGCAACTTTATGAGATTTATCAACAACAACATCTTCTCTCTTTGAAGCTTTGAAATCAATCATGCCAGAAGTCCAGTGGTCCTTCCACACAAGAATGTTCTGACCAGACCCCATGCATAGAAAAATGTCTTTCAATGGTATGTATCATCCTACTAGCAGACTACTTCAAGCCCATAAAGCATGTTGCCAGAAATTATGGGTATAGGATTCATTGATTATTCAATAATACCTCGTAAAGTTATATCACAGCAACTGTACAAGTAAATCACGTAAATCATGTAACTATGCTATCTGCCATATTCTACTAGATAGTGTATTGACTATATCTAAATATATCTTTTAATATATACACAACAAGAATATCTAAACTACTTGGACCTCTTCAATACTCCCCCTCAAGTTAGTGCGTGGATATCTATCATGCCCAACTTGCCAAGAGCATTCTTGAATGCTTCAGTCGATACAGCCTTTGTGAGAACATTTGCTAGTTGATACTGAGACTGCACAAAAGGAAATGTAATTATGTTTCGATCAAGCTTTCTCAAATAAAATGTCAGTCGACTTCCATGTGTTTGGTACGATCATGTTGCATTGGATTATAGGCAATTTTAATTGCAGACTTGCTGTCACAGTGGAGTTGCATGGTTTGGTATATTTGATCCCCAAGTCATCTAGAATGCCTTTAATCCATAGAAGTTCGCACACCCTGTTAGCCATGCCCTTATATTTTGCTTCTGCACTTGGTCGTGCAACTACTTTTTACTTCTTGCTTCGCCATGTTACTAGATTACCACACACAAATGTGAAGTACCCAGATATAGATCTCCTGGTGGTTTGATCACCAACCCAATTTGAGTCTGTATACCCTTCTACATCTATTTCATTGGGCCAGTCTGAGATGGTATATCCCTCAACATCAAATCCTTCATGTTTCTTGAATAATAGTCCGCTACCTGGGGATCCTTTTGCATATCTCTAGATATGAAAGATTGAATCCATGTGATCTTCACTTGGGGTATGCATAAACTGACTCTAAACTGACTCACAGCACTTACTACATGTGTAATATTCGATCTCGTCTGTGAGAGATAAATTCACTTTCCAACTAGTTTTTGATATCTATCACAATTGGCAGGTACTTAGTCAGTGTAAATTACTAACTACTAATAATCTATAAGGTTCATCATCGAACTCAACAAATCAAACTTCATACTCCCTCTATCCCAAATTATAGGGTATTTTTTAAAAAGTTTTTCGTCCTAAAATATAAGATAATTTAAGTAGATTAAAGTTTCATTAAATGTACTAATTTCAATATTATCCTTTCTCTCTCTATAATTAATTTTCATCTATTCTCTTTTCGATATATTAAATAATGAGTATTTTTAAAAAATTATATTTTTTTTTGAAAAGATAAGGTTGTTAAGGATATTCAATGATATTTATTAGTATGTGAGATTTTATCTAAAAATGTCTTATAATTTAAAAGAAGGGAGTATAATTTATTAAATCTAGTTTTATGAGACGTATATAAAATTATGCAATTTATTAAATTAATATTACATGGAACATAAAAATAAAAGGATATCCACATTATAACCAATATGAAAAAATGGTTAGCTTTTATCATTTAAAAAGATATATTAGCACAAATAAATAGATTTTATAATTCAAAGCACATTTAGGTTCTACAATAATCAATTATGATTAGTTCAAACTAATTTAAAATCAATTATCAAACCTGACTTCCGTTTGCAATCCAACCCCTCTTTATATATATATATATATATATATAATTGTAGATATATAGAACTAGATTATAAATATGAAAAAATGGTTAGCTTTTATCATTAAAAAGATATATTAGCACATATAAATAGATTTTATAATTCAAAGCACAATTAGGTTCTACAATAATTAGTTATGATTAGTTTAAACTAATTTAAAATCAATAATCAAACCTGACTTTCGTTTGCAATCCAAGCCCTCTTTATATATACTTATTCCGTTAAAAAATATAAGATATTTCTAATCAAATCTCACCTTTTAAGTAGTTACTTACTTTCAACTAACTTTATCTTTTTATATTCACCTCTATTAAATACCTTATAATAAATATAAAGTCATTATTAATAAGGACACTTTAAAAAAAAAGGTAATAATTATACTTCAAAAGATTAAAAATGTCTTACACTTTTTAACACCTAACTTCTTAAAAAATATTTTATATTTTTAAACGAAAGGAGTATTTGTATATATATATATATTCTAAATATATAGATTTAGACGATGAATTACATATAGATAATACGTTAATTTAAAAAATAATTTAACATTTTAAATGTATTAAAAAATTTTAAATCAAAGCATCCATGATATCATTTGTAAAATAGAATAAATTTAAAAAGAAATTCTATGGAATTAATAAAAATAGTAAAAACTAAAATAAAATAAAAAATATAAACCCTAACAATACCCAACAAGTTCACATATATATTAACATCCCTCAGCCGCTAATTTGCTGGTTTCCTTTCTCCCTCTTGTCTGCGCTCTCTCTGTCTCTCTCTCTCTCCCTTATCTGTGCCTGAAATTGCTCTAATTCAGCAAACTTCAAAGCAATTAGGCCAATTTAGGGCAAATTTCTCATAGAAATCGCTAAGCCAAAACCCTAAGTGCAGCAAGCAGAAGCCAGCTGAAGCATTAGAGAATGACGCAGAAGGCTGCGCTTTTTAAAGGCCAAAAGAAGAAGAAATCAATCCCACCCAATCGTCATGGAAAAGTTGCTCATACTCGCAAAGGTACTTCTTCTTAGTTCTTACACTAATTTTCTGCCTCTCGGTGTTATTTGAAAGAGCTCTAGTTAGTGTAATTTGTTACTGTTTTCGCAGGGAAGAGATTTGTGAAGCCATCCAAGGTCACGAGGGAGATGGATACTGATCGGGTGAGTTTATCTTTTTTAAATAATTTTTCTCGTTGCTACTTGCTTTATTTATTCTCTTTGGAGTGTTTGGGATTCGAATTAGAGGCAGTAAGTTTCAAATTCACATTGCGATACTGGAATATCTAGATTTGAATTATCATGTTGTGTGTTGAATTCGTGTTAGACAGGATACGATTCCATTATTACTAGAATTTTCTTTGGCGATTTCTGAGGCATTCTCTTCAGGTTTAAGCAACGAATTTTGACTACTTCATAGGACAAAGTTTTGTTTTTCCCTTCTCCAAGAAAGACTTGCTCCATTATGATTGGTATTATTGAGTCTTGTGTTTAGTGAAAGCTTGCCTGGGGCTAGTTCAATGAGGGGCAACAATAAATTATCATAAACTACCTCGATTGACAATATTTTTTGTCTGGAAAATTTGACCATACCCTAGGTTGTGCTGCTTCTCTATTGAGGGAATAACTATTAGACCCCAAAAAATAATTCAATAATAGTTGAAGTCTCCAGAAATTTTTAGAGAAAAATGAGTTACAAATTATCGGTTGTAAATATTTTAATTGTAAATTAGGTATTTAAGTCTCATGGGTCACTTCAAGTGATTTGCAATTGAAAATATCATACTTGGTAGTTATCCGAATTGGTATTTGCAACTCATGATCATTAAAACGTTTTAGGACCTAACTGTTATTAAACTGAACTTTGGGACCTGGCTGTCATTTTGTCTTCTTTATTTACAAAAATGGAAGGACATTAATGACTCTTTCTGTTCCTATACTAGTACTACTGTTTCTTATCAGATGACTCCTAGGAGCTAGTTGAGAGCTTCATATCTATTTATCTACCGATGTATTCACAATGTAATGTAATAATTCAAATTACTGATTTCTTCCTTTCATATTTGGATTAACCAGGAGGTAAGCAAGTTCATCAACCACTGCAATGAGACTAAGGCTGCCACGGTTGCTCAGAAGGATGGTGGTCAACTAAGTATTATTAAACCTCCAGCAGAGCCTACAGCTGGAGCAAAGAAATAGACATAGGATAGTTGGGTTAACAGAATATTATTTATCTTGTGATGATGCTTATTATGAGATCCTCTGATGTGAAATGGGAAATCAATTTTGATTCTGTGGGTTTTCCCTTTCTTGAGAGTATATATAGAATTTAGTTTTTCCCTATACTTTGCTTCTTTCTTGGTGTTCTTTCAAATCATTTGATGTGTTCTACATTTGTGGCAAGCTTTTGTTGACCCCTTTATGAGCTAAAAATTAGGTAAAAGGAGTTCGATTTGAGATTTGCATTAGCAGCTGTCTTTTCTTTTTCCTTTTTTCATTTACATGTTAGTACTCTGGGGTCACACAAGTTTGATAGTTTTGTCCAGTGACTTCTATTATAATCCCTCCAAATAAACTTTATATTGTTAAGTGTTAGTATAAATAAATACTTTCTCGCATTCTATCCAAGGTATAAGCAAATTTTTTATCATTAAATATCTCTTTTTTAATGTTCTTCAATAAATTGTTGAATGAAAAATTGAAGCAACTTAGTATAGAAGGTAAGCCATTTAATTAGGGGTAAATCTAGAAAAATACTCCAGAGCATGGGTGACTTGTAATTAGGAGTATTGTGTTTTAACCAATTAAGCAATTGTGTTACCAAAGAAAACACTTGCATGTAGTTTTGCCAGTTTGATACATTTTTGGGGCACATTTTTTTAATACAATGTTTTGGTAAGCCGTTTAACATTTAACAAGAAGTAACCCAAAAAAACAATAGTAGAAAGTTCTTTTTGGAGCCATGTTTCCGTTTTGGGTGAAGCAAAGAGGCTTAGGCCCAACAAAAGCTACAAAACATCAAGGTCTGGGATGATTTCTCCCTTGCAGTTTACAAAGCTGAAATCTCTTGAACTTCTTGGAGAGTGATTTAAAAACTTGAAGGAGTTTCAGTCTAAAACAACTTGAAACTATAATTCATTGAGGTAGCTTAAGAAAATGTCTTTCAATAATGCTCGAATCTAATTTAGTTAGATAGTTATATAAAAAGAAAATTATTTTTCTTTCATTTTTTATGCCTGCATTTTTAAAAATCTCAAACGGTAACCTTGTTTGTATATTATATAATAATGATTAATGACTGATTATTGATAAGTTAAAAGGAAAAAAAGCGATATTTATATAGTTAACTTGCTGCTTTCAACATTTTTACCTTTTTTATTATTGTAATGATTTTTTTTTTCCACTTCGTCTTTTCTTTTCCTTTTTCTTTAAATTTGTCAATATCCAATAGTATACCACAACCCATTTTATATATATATATATAATATATATTTCAATATCTATTAGCATATTTCCTATGAGAAATACTTAGATAGATCTGTTCAATAAAACATGACATTTATATGATATTCAATATAAACTAATTTTGGCATTAATGATAATGGAGAGTTAAAAGGTAAAAAATTAAATGTGTATTTTGTTATAAAAATAAAATTAATTAAAAAAATGTCACACAAGATTTTATTTAGACTATTTAGAGTATTTTAATTGAACAAACTACAAATGACGTGATGTACCCAGTTTATCTAAGTATTTATTTGCTTTCTATATAAGAGTTGAGAATCAAGCATATAACTATTTCCTTGAAGGATGGGATTCTCTACTCATACCAAATGAGTGCTTTGAATACAATTTAATAAAATTTTTTAAATATTTTATGAAAAGCAACTGTTCCATTAATTTATATTTATACATAACATAAAAGCTCTAACAAATTGCATTCTTAATAAGCTATAAAAAGTATGACTCATTTTCTAAAATGCGTGCACTGCGCAAGACTCGAACTAGTTGAATAAACAATAATATAAACCATTAATTTCATAATTTTAAAATTGAATTATCAGGTTAAACTGAAGGGAAATAAATACAAGGTTCTTGAATGTTTCTTTCTTTTTTTTTTTTCAAGCTTGTTAGCCTCTTAAAGCATAATAACACCCTATTACAAATCTTAGAATTTATTTTGATATGTTCATCTATTTTATTTTCATCATTTTAAATTTCCTTCTTTATTTTTTTTTTGGGTGATCAAGTCTTTTTTTGGTGATACACCGGTGATCAAGTTATTGGGCTATCAATATTCTTTCATACATAGGCCAAATGTTTGCCCAAAAAAAAGGCCCAATGTCCAACTTCCATTGTGAATCCTTTGTATCCATTAGCTCACCCTTGCACCTTGTGGTCTTATCAATTCTGAGTTGGGAGTGTATAACTATTGGGTCATGTAATTTTTAAGGTATTTTATTATTAGTTTTTTTAAATTTTTTTTTCATTATTTCAAGTTTCTTGAGTTTCATCTGATTGTAATATTAATTCCTATATTTTTTTTAAAGATGACTGTAATGATTTAACAATAACTAATGTGCACATAAACCCTATTACTTATGACATTAACTTGTTAAAATTATATTGACTTATATGAAAAATGAGTAGCAGGCCACAAAAGGAAAAAAAAAAAGACATTAAATCAAAATCCTTAAATGCACAAAGGATGAAGCTTCAGAAAAGATAGTCATGAAAGATACACATAAAGGTTAGTGGTCATTTTGCTTATATAATATTCAACTTATTATAATTTTATTACCTTGGCAATAGAATTAGTACAAGGGGAAAGTTTATACACTTAGTCTTATATATACTTAAGGTATTTATTTCCATTTAAAATAAGACATGTGCATAATTTTTAAATTATTCATTTTATAATAAATTCTTATTATTAATATTATTAACACATTCAAAACTGTGATATGATTAGATAAAGATATATTAAATATAGAAGTCTTTCTGTTAATAGAATTATGTATACATCAATATATTTAACTCAACAGGTGATAATAGGGACTAACTTTGTAGACTAGTGAAATTTAAGGCTTGGAATAACAAAAAGAAATGCAAGGTCTAATACTAAAACACGCTAAAAGTATAAAAACTAACAATTATATTTTATTTTCCTAGTTCTAGAGGTTGTTGAATCTAATCTTTTTTCGTGAAATAAAATTTAGGTGGGTAAATTTAAAAACTCATCAAAAGTAAAATAAGGCTCAAAGTTGTACTGTGTTTATTATACATATCAAGACGTACATTTAGTCAGATCCATATATTATGCTGAAATTGAGGACGTGTATGCGAAAATCATGAGGATGTTAGTTGAGATTCACATATTAGCCATGTACGGAAGGAATAAAGATCCAAGTTTTAGGCTGAAATGAAGGAAATGAATGCTAAATTCATGAAGAGGTCAACGGCATGAAATTTTCCATACTTCAAATTGTTGAAAAAACTTGATCTCTATAGTTTTATCTTTTTTGTTATTGATTCATGTGCTTCTTTTCAATAATTTAGGTCACTCTACTTTTAAATATGTTTAGAGGGATGATAATATGTCACTAATAATAGCGTTAAATAATTTGATGCGCAGCTAACAATGTTAATGAGTTGGCAATTTGAATCAACAAAAGGTAAAAATTAAAAGGGACAATTGCTTTCTGATGATGACTATTTTGGCAATAGCACTTGTCAAGTTGCAAGTGGTTTCCATTCATTGTGGGCTAAGCTATTTGCCTTATGCATTAAATGTCCAAATTTAATGCCATTAGCACTACTTCATCATCTCTCTGAGTATATTAAAAAAAATCGAGATTAATGTTTTATATAAGAAACCTATAAAGACTTAAAATACTGAAAAAAAGTATTAAAAAGAATAACAAAATTCAATAAAACTATAAGGATTAATGATTATGTTGTCCCTAAATTTTTTATATACTGACAATGACTAGAATAGAATTATATGTAATAGAAATATACACACACACATAAAAAATTATACATTAATAAAACTACAATGTCCAAAAAAGAATAAAATAAAATTTATAACAAATTGCATTATTAAAGAATTTTTGAATTTACATAAAGGCAACCTAAGACTTGTGCCCCTCTAAATCAAATAATAAAGCACTAAAGGGAATAAAAAAAGTAAGATCAAGAACAAAAGTTTTAAAATATTAAACATGGGAGGCCTAAAAGAAAATCCAAAACACTAGAATTCACCATATCCTTCCCCTGCATATAATAAAAGTTTGATCTCTCTCTTTAGAACCATTACGTAGGCAACAATTTTATGATTTTTTTTAACCTTTTAGCACACTGCTTTCATTGGGTATAGGGTTAAATTTTACTTTTGATACACGTAGCGTAATTCTATTCTTCCAGCATTGACTTTTTTAAGGGAGAATATCAATTAAATAATCTGAAAAAAATTAATTTCTTAAAAAGATTTCTAACAAATAAACATTCGTAAATTAATAAATAAAATTATTGTTTTAATAAGCATCCAATTTATCTAGGATCCTTTTAAGATCTTAAATTTTTTCAATAATTTTTCATTAATATTCTCCCTTTTTTTATTGCTGACATCTGAATTTACACTACATCAAGTTAAGAGGACTTAAAAACCATACTAATTCGAATCAAGCATTGATAGACTCTTTTGGGCAGTAGGCTTTACAACTGAGTTGTCATGCTGTTAAATTTTTAGGACTTAACCATCCAGTTGTAATGTTGTTAGTTGTTGTATTCTTATAACTCGAATTCAAAATTACTAATTAAATTGGAATAATCTTGTATTCCACACACAAAAAGTTGGATCATTCATCTTGTATTGCATACTGTAGAAATAAAATAATCATGAATTACATGTTCCTTTTTCATTCCATCCAAACAAACAAGTCCCAGAGAAGATCAAGAACAAGGGAATGGACTTCCATTATTGGCTGAAATGTGACAATGTTTTTTAAAGTATGTTTGAATCTATCATTCCAAATATCATCTCAAACTATTCCATCTATGTACTTGCGGACATTGTTGTGCAAAGAAATCAATCATATTCAGAATTTACAACAAACTCATATGAGAATCAAAGAAACCAAGAACATATCTACAGATCAAGCAACGGATTTTTGGGGTTGTGTGGTGATCAGCCTAAAGCAATCGATCAACTCATTTCTCTGAGTCATAACGCTTCCAAACAAATCATCCATTTCCTTGCTCAAATCGTCCACGAGCTTCTCCAACACATGAAGCTCTTTCTGCAATTCCATGGCTGAATCAAGTTTCTCAGCATTTGAAGC